CTGCACTTGGAAGGGACAAGGACATCAAGAACAAAACTGTTCGCCAGGGTACCTGCCAGTTACATCCTTGTCCATCAGGGTAGACCCATCTGATGTCAAAATGCTTGCACTGTGAAACAAATCTGAGAAATTTAACTGCCTACTTGATCCAATACAAATGCTAAACTCAGGGATTCAAATCAAAAGGTCTTTTTGGGCTCAACCACACATACTGACCCTGCAGATGTGAAGGGATATGACCAGAGCTAAGGACTGTATGCTCAGAAATCTGGACCTTCCCTATACAGTCTTATCTAGCAGCTGTCCCACCTCTATGACCTAAACCACTTCCTATGCCCTAAAACAGTCAACACACAAAAACCAAAGACACAAAACCATGTAAGAGAAATTCTCCCCAGTCAGAGTAAATTCAGTGGATACCTTTAAGTATGCATCAGAACTCGAAGAGTGTTGTGAACACCTGGAATTACCTTTCTCTGTGTATGTAACCAACGAGACCCTGATTTTAGCTCCCGGACTCTGAGTAGGAAATTATTACACAGTATATTCTTGCCATGGGCATCATCCGAACATTCTGTGCCTGAGGTTCCTCATGTCAACATGAGGCTAGAATTCTCTGCTACTAAGAGTCAGAGAGACACTGGATATATCAAAAACACCAGAGTTAACTACACACTACTTTTTCAGCTACTTAGAAGGATGCCTAACACACTGGCAGCCTGTTAATATGTTTTAAAAGTTTAATATATATTTTGGAATGAACAAATGTATTAATATGTGAATATATTTCATAGTGTTATGTGAAATGTGATATATGAATACTGATGATATTCTCAAGAAAGAGTATGACTATTAATATTTCAAAAGTTAAGAAACATGACATTTCAGTCCATATAACTACAAAAACAAAGCACTGGGTTTTTTGTTTTGTTGTTTTTGTTTTTTTAGAAAAGCGTTCTTTTTATACACTAGATTTTTAACACCAGATTCACCGTGTTGAAAACCAAGAGAGCTAAGTTGGTCAAATGTCTGTGGAGACAACTCTCAAGCCTACTTACAGGCTTTCAGAGGACGGTATTTTACTATCTGTCTTGCAAGCAACTGATAACAGTAATAATTTTAAAATCTAAGATTTCTTGACAGATACTGTCAGGAGAAGGAGAGTTGGGGAATCATCTCCTTCGTGTGATTTTTCTGGATGGAATGTTCAACCTATTTCTGTGTCTTTGGGAACTGAAAATAAAATGGCAATTCTCATTCACTTTCTAGAGGACGTGGCGGCCTGGAGCTGTCTTTTCTCCAGGTAAAAAATGAAACAGAAAACGGTCCCAACGCCTTAAGAAATAAGGAGCCAGCACGTGTGCATGCATGTGAGCGCCAGCAAGTGGGATGGAGGAGGGGGGCTTCCAAAAAGATCCGCACAAAGCAGACTGAAATAAAACCGGGGATGTCTGACCTCAACATTCCTACAAAGAAACATTACTCAGGCAGGAATAACAAGTGACCTTTTACTTATGGTACCTTTAACAAAATAATTTGCCCTTGTAGCAATGTATATATTTATCTAATGCTTGATTGAATTCAGTATCTAAAACTCTAGGGAAAACAAGCAACCAATTTGATGTTTTATTGTAAATCAAAATATTTACTTTTACAACTCCCAATTTACATCCTAAATCCATAACCCTCAAAAGTTTCATGACAACAGGCTTTTTTGTTCCAGAATCAGACTGTTTTCTTTCTATGTAGTTGCCATTCAGAACGCAACAACCGACCTATCTAACCACATCCACTGAAAAACCAAAAGCAACGACAAAGCGTCATCTCAGATCCATAATGAGCTAAGCATTTTTAACATCCTAGAACATTTTACAAAAATAACCGAGCACGTGATACAGAGAACTTAATAAACGCATGTCACTCTGCTTCCACAGATTTATGGTAGGAAAGTACCAACAGAAATAAAGGCATGCACTGTAAATCAAACCACATACCACTTACGGAATCTCTCTGCAGCTGGAGAAACCCTTAGAAATATTAGAGGAGTAGACATTGTTGCATCAAAACCTAAGCACCCATTGTAAAAAATCAACACCTGTTTTTAAACATACCATTGGGCAAGGGCACAGACAGATTAATGGGGAATCGGGCCAGTCATTCACTGCAGTTTGACTTTAATCTATAGGGACACCAGCTCCCACACTGTCAAAGGAGGAGCCGAGGCAAAGACAATCCCATCGAATTCTAAGAGTCCAGGTTCAACAGGACATTTGCTTAGCAACTATGAGCCAATCCTCCTGCATGCTGGAGGAGGGCTTGCTCCCCAGGCAAGTTCCTAGTAAGACCTAGTCCTCATACCTACTTCCTCTCTCTGCCAGCAATAGATTTTCAACTCTACATACTATTTAGGGATCCTGTAGCCATTCTTGTTAGTGGAATATTTTAACATATTAAAATAAAACCCTTTAGTTTTTAAACTATTAACTATTTTAACATATTTAACAAAACCTTTAAAGTCCATACAGTGGCATATATGTGCTAAATGCTTCCACATAAATGAGTCAAACACTGCATGGGAGAATCAGGCTGCATTTTGTACACAAACAGTATTTATTTGCTAGGCATTTTTCAACACAGTATTTATATCACCAAATCTCAGAAGAAAGAGGAGTTTCATCAAACACAGTATACATTTGGGGTGTAGGTGTTAGGAAGCCTTTATCACTCATCTTTCCTAACTTTACCACAAAACCAAAAGGGAAGTAAGTACCTAATAATGAAAACATTCTGAATATCAGATTCATGGACTCATTCTAGAGAAACAGAAGATGATGCTGTAGAATGAAGAAAAAAAACAAAACCTTCATTTTGAGTTCATTCTTTTCAAATACTAATAACCAGTATCTGTTGCTTCTGCTAACATATGCATGATCATTTCCAACGATATTTTTAGAAAAGGGAAGATTGCCATTGTAGCTCGGGTTGCAATTTCAGCCTAGGTCAGTCACTTAGCTATGGTGATGGGGTCCTCCAGCCACACAAAGGCCCTTCAGCCTCTCTGAAGATCTCTCTTTAGAAGTTCACTAGAGCAGGCGGATCTCTGTGAGTTCAAAGCCAGCCTGGTCTACAAAGCAAGTTCCAGGACAGCCAACAAAGCTACACAGAGAAACCCTGTCTTGAAAAAACAAAAGAAAAGAAAAGGAAGGAAGGAAAGATTCACCAGTATACAGCTCCAAGACTAAGTCTTGGATTTCCATTTTCATTCTGCTTACTGTGATAACTGCCTATGCTCAAGTCATTTCTCATGGTGGCATTAAGCAAATCCATAATTGATGTATAAGGTACAAGGGATGGAGGTCATTGGGCAAATGTCACTGTACAATAAATACTGGCACCAGACCCTTGTCCCCAGCTCAGAGAGCAGACCTCTAGTCTTTGTCTGAGCTGACTTCCCAAATCAGTGGGACACGGGGTCACATGAAGATATGGGACACTGCTACATGGGGTGTTTAGAATTCTGAGTAAAAGCAACAACAAAACAAAATGGTTCATCCTAGGTCACTCTTCCAATTTTCAAATAAGCAAGCAACATGTTCTCCAGAGTTGGCTTCACAACATGGCCCCAGAAGTCCGTCACTCTGCTTCATTATACCATCAGCTTGACCTAACTGCTGGAAACTCATTGAAATTACTTTTATTTTCTGGTTATAAATTCACATCCTCTCAATTTAAAGGGGGAGAACAAGATAGATAGTGGCTGATGGGATAAATGAATTGATTTTTTTAAAGTCTGCTCTCAAACACAAGAAAACGAACATTTGATAACACAGAGACTAGGTAGTCTGTGGCCACAGCTTAACCTAGATAGCTCCCTTCTTAAGTTGCTAACATCTACGCAGAGCTGCAGGTCTATAATGGAGCAAGGCTGCAAGGATGAACTGCTAAGAAACAGAAGCAGAGGCCCATGGGCTTCCCCTTAAGGTACTCAGGAATCCTCATAAGCCTTGCACTAAAAACACATGGAACAAATACCTACTATCCAGTGTCATAAAAACAAGCTCTGTGAGACCCTCTTCACTCCAGAAAAGCTTATGCAGAGTAATACAAGTTCAAACAACTGGCAGACTAATATTCACAATCATATTTTGAACTAGAATTAAAAGAAAACCTCAAACAAGCACACCAATTAATACTGCATCCTGGAATGACCACACCAGAGGTGAGGATGCTGGGAGTCAATGCCACACCACACTCCGTGGTGCCATCAGCCAGCTCAGTGTCATTGAAAAGGATGCTTGGTTTTAAACTTGGCAACAACCTAGAGTTTTAGCTGCCCTCTACCAAAATTCATTCCAGAAAATGAAATGCAACAACAATAAACCTGTCTCATTTCAAAACTCCCTAATGGTGAAACAGGCATCTCAAGGAAAAAAATGTCCATTTTAAAAAAGTGAACTAATTCTTCAAAATTGGTTATAAACTCCTAATGGGCAATAATTATGGACCTTTGTTCCAGGCAAGAGATTTCTTATATTTATAATTAACATACATACATAATTTACAATTATTTTCAGCAAACACTTTCAAACACCATATAATGGTACCATGATTTTATGTAGGCAGCATGCTGAAGCTGCGCACAGAAATACTGACTCTATCGCCCATAAAGCAAAGCTGAGGGGGTCCCACCACTGCTAGTCTACCTTATAGAGGGCTTGGGGTACTCGGCAGTAGGTCTAAAACGAGCTGGCAGGGTGGTGTCTTCTGTGGGACTGTTTTTCCTGGGCTCAGTCCCCTCCCCCTTCCCCAAGGGAGAAAGGGCATAAACTCTTCATAATGGATAAGGCAGATTTTCAAAGGTTAGCAGTGGTCAAATCACTTAGCATCTTTAGCAAACTCTTGCTTCAGATACCAGTTGCCTGAAGCCAGGGATCCCCATCAGATCTCGAGTAGTAGCTGCCCAGGATGTCTTACTATTTATGATACGTTATGCTGAGTACCTGTGAAAGGGGGCACTCCTTGGCCAACGAACTCTGATTCATGTCTTTCAGCAAGTCCTTCAGAGCGTTCCGTACTGTGGTATGCGACCATTGTTCCGGGGGCAAGTCTTCTAGTTTGGGGCAACTATTTGAGACAGAGATTAGAAAGGGGATTATTACAGGGTTGCATCCCGCTGCAGAACATTCCTTTAAGACAGACAGATTTCATTTTGCGAATCAAACAGATGCATCTGGAGATTGCTCTCGGTCTCCTGATTGTTCCGATTAGTTAATTACTTTATACAACACATCTGCTGTATCGATGCATGAATTATACATCAGCTGCCTGTGGTGGCTATTTTTTCATGTTACTTCTACCTTCCTGCTCTGATGCGCTTGGGAAGACAATTTAAGGTGTACTGCTTTCTCACGAGCCACTGTGAAAAGCATTAACGTATTAACTGATTTCTTCCCGCTACTCTGTTCAGACGAATTAAAATGGCAAAAATACAGATATAAGTAAATAAGATCATGGCAAAGCGAATAAGGCATTCTTTCACAAAATGTACACAGATGGCACTGTTCATGATATGCAAAAATATTTTTTTCTTAAGTAAACTTTATGTAAAATGCCTTCTTGTAATGCATCATTTAATTGACTAAAAGTAAAAAGTCTTATCTTTTGATAGCATGCAAAAAATGCAGAAATTTCAAGGGAGGAAGTTGATTTTTTAAAGTCATACATTGAAGTTGGAGAAAATAACAGAAGGGGTAAAGTTACCAAATTAATTTGAATTAGCATGTCGCAAACGCTGAGTAAACAAAAACTGCAAGCTGACTAGATTAGCTTTACGTCCACAGGCAGGAAGAAGACTTCCCCTCAGAACTGCCCCGGACTCACCTGTGCAGCTGGATTTTGAGTGTGACCACATGATACACATCTTGAAGCATATCTGCTACGGTAGCATCTGGGGCATCTGTCACGTACGACAGTGGAACTGGATTCCACTTCCCAACCTGGATGAGTCCTGGTCCAGATAAAGAGACATGCTCAGTGCTGGCTCTCAGACCCCGCAGCAGGGTGTGTGCTCTTCTGACTGGCCCCACCATAAGCAATATTGTTATTTCTGTTTGAATGATTCGCCTTCCCTCAAAAAGGCAGGTCAGTGAAGATATCTGCAGCTTAGCTTTCCAAATTGCAAAATTATGTAAATGACTATAGGGGTTGTTTATTATTTGGGAAATAAATACCCATCAATAAAACCTATGCATCAGGCCACATTGTCCTAACTTACAGGAAGTTCTAATAAGACATAGCTGAACCGGTTTTAAATGGCTTTATGATTTAGATAAGATTCCCTATTGCAGAGGGAATCAACATTGAAAAATACTTTACAGCCCATAAAACCATCAGAAACAGAATAAAAGAAACAGAACTAGATATTCAGTCATAAATGCAAATTGACTCTCAACAGTCCATCTGCTCAAATACGCTCCTCACTTCCTTGTGGGTCCTCAGTGGAGCAGATTATTAAGGTCAATAAGCATACTAATGATTCAGCTGAAGTAATTTAAAAAAAAAAATTTACCTCGACATTCCACATGAGCAAAATGTGTGTTAACTAAACCAAACTGAATCAAGCCAATTTTTAAAGCCACAGTCTATAAGGAACCAATACTAAATGTAGGCTGCAGCTCTGTGAATAAAATGTTCTCTGCTTTGTCTGAGAGGCAAACAGGAGGGCAGCAAGTTCCCAGCCCCACGAGCACATCCTTTACCTTTGGCCTGGGCAGCAGAGCTGTGGGAATAGCCTAGAGACAGCAACGCCATCTCTATCAGCTGGTTGAAAAGCATATCCTTTCTCACCAGCACGAATTCCGCATGCTCCTCCTTGCAGTCGTACTCAATGGCATTTTCATAATGTTCCACCACGCAGAAAACTGGTAGCATGGTTCCTATCAAAAGACAGAGGAAAAGACAGAAAACCGACAGTCTTCAGGAAGAGTCTGGAGGAGGACACCTAAGCTATGGAAACAAACCATCCCCACGGTGAGGGGAGTGACGGAGCTTCACAGGCAGACCGGGGAGAGACACAGGCACACACAGACATGCAGCCGTTCACTGTTTAAAAGTTGCAAAGGAAACGCTTTAATTCCCTTTATTTGAACTTGGTCCTACAGTAACATGGGCTTGCCTCTCATTTTAACAGTTCGTCTTCCGAAGCAATGAATGCAGAATTACTTTTCTGATCAAACAATAATGCTGACGAGAGACAAGTAAGTGTCTGGTGTAATTTGCCATAAGGATCTTACAGGATGCAACAGAGCTCACAGAACTTGTCTTCATAGGACTACCTTCATTCCGCATACAGGCTTCCCGCTAATGACAGGTTTCGCTTGCTTGTGTCCAAATTATCTGACTTTACAGTTATGTTTCTGCCCTTTTCAGTGTTTCCTCTCACTGGTTCCATAAAAGGAACACAAAACTTTACCAAGCCAACACTCAGAGACATTGTTTCAGTGTGCATAACATAGGAAGCTTAGACTTCTATGGTTAGCCATTCCAGCTACCTGAGGAAAGATATGACAGCACCATAAGTCTTTAACATGAACAGTTTCTGCTACAGTAAATATGGTAAAAAAAAATGACAGTGAGGGAAAGGAAAGCCAGCCTTATTGAGCTGCACGAGAAGCAGACTGCATGGGCCTGATGCTTCTGCCTGCCTTGCTTCCACCCAGGGCAGTAACTCAGTGGCACAGGCCACACCACTGTTGGCACAGAGGCTTGGTCTAGAAGCTGGAAGCCATCCGCAGTGGCACTCAAGGTATTAAGGCAGTGCACTGTCAGATTTCCAACAGTTGCAGAAAAGGGTTAAAAACAGATGCATCTGAACAGTACCGTGGCACACTGCCAGGAGGGTATCATCTTTAGCATAAATGATGACAAGGGTTACTTTAACAGGGCACCCAGGATCCCCAATTAGTTCTCCAGTATCGCTGCCTGTATCAGCTCCACACCCAGGACTCACCCTGGACTCGCCGATCCCTAACTTCTGACCGCAGCCGCGGATCAGCATTCCCTACTGCCAGAGAGCCCCTTTACAAATTCTCTATTTGCTCGTTTCTGCTGAACAAAAGCCGGCCATAAACCAGCTACATCTTTCCACATGTGTGTCTCCACCAAAGCTTTGTGAACTGTTCACAAGAGATTCCAGCTCTGACAATTAAACCCCTTTAGGTTTACTTAGAAAAGCTCACAAACTCATTCGGAAGTACCAGCAGGCTAGGCATGAAAAACAAGCCGCAGAGCTTGCCAGTATTCTTGTCATTCACTCAGCTGTTTTATACCAGAGAGAGAACCCGTCAGGGATCAGAAGAGAACTTGGGGAGGACCGCAGCAAAAATAGCAATATGCAAACTGGTGATTTCTTCCTTGGCTTGAAGGTATTTTGGCAAAATCTCTTAAACAAATAAAAACACCCAAGCCCTTTTTTTTTCAGTGCTTCCTCAGCTTAGCCACAATTTTTATCTAGCACCTGTCAAACAGAAACCATACACATGAAAAATAAGATTTAAAGAAGGAAAAAAAAACTACTGAAAGGCTTAGAATTTTTTGCTTTTTGTATTAAGTGCAGAAGCTTCTACAGTTAAACTGTATTTTTAAGATTTGGAATTCTGAATGTAATACATTTTTTTGAAGGATTTGAGCAGGAATGCGACGATCATGCTCTGGCTCCTTCTCTCTGTCTACTGGGATCTGTGGAGTTTGGTTAGCAAGCCAATGGTATGCATACTGGTGTTTCCTCTCATGGACTCAAATAGAGGTCTCAAGCAGGGAGCTTTGCAGACCTCAGCTCTATGAAATAACTGAAACCTTTTCAAACCACAGAAACAGCCTGGGTTGACTCTGTGTTTTATTGATCACATTTAAAGGTGCCTTTATAGATAATAAAGGTGGCTACAGATATGGTAGCAACAGGATCATCTAATTACAAAGCCGGTGCTAGATCGTCTCGAGAACTGTCACGGTTGCCCTCCTCTTAGAGGGAGTAACGTTAAACAGGAGCCTTAGCTGCACTGCCTGATTATTCAAGCTGCTGCTTGGCCAGACTTCCAACTACAGCAACTTCATAGCCTTCCTGCATTAGAAAGGGAGAGTACTGGTCACTGCTGAAAGCTAAAAATACCACATGATTTAAACCTGAAGGCAGTCTTAGAGGCTTTTGCTGGAGGTTTATGAGCCTGTGTAAACAGCACGGCTGCCATAAGGAGCAGTGGAGTCTGTAGAATCCTTGTCTAAAACTGTCCTGGCATTAAAGTTTGCTGTGCAAATATCACATAATACCAGAGACAGCTGAAATCTCCTATTTAGGAATTTATGGAACTTGTGTTTGCAGGCGTCAGAAAGTCTTTTTTATAGAGCCTCAGCGCTACACAGTACAATATTAATGCACTCTGTTTGAAAAGCCATAATAAATTATATTTTTAATGCTCTTGCCCTGGCTTAAAGATGCATACATTCTTGGCAAACAATCAATAAATAGGGTAATCATGAGTAGAGGCCAAAGAATTTGCTGAAGTGCTGTTTTTCCATTTTTAATAGATAAAGATCTAACAATACGGACTGCTGTGTCTGTTTATTTCAGGATCAATATATTCTTTGTTTTAGCCAAACCAAGGGAAAAAAATAAATGATTGTATGATAAATGTTACGCATCAAACACAATGAAATTCCTCGGCCCCCTAACTTTCTCTACTTAATATTCGTGGTTGGTAAAAGATGGCATTTTTACTCTTTGCTTAGCAAAAGTCCCAAAAATCTGACTCCTATGTGTTATTCAATCACAAAATAAAGATCCCTGTGATGCATACAGGGTACCCCACATAGTCACTACTCTGTAGAGACAACAGTATCCAACACAGGCAAAGTTGTTAAAACTCCATCAATTTAATTTTGGTAGAAAATCACTTGCTTACATTTACCCCTTTATAAACTTGCCTAAATTTTCCATTCCTTCACCAAAAATACTCATGTATAGAAAAATTAACAAGTACAATCAGCAAGTTTTTCCACTGTCAAATATTACTTTGCTCTTCAGAAAATAAACCACAATAAATGCCATCACAAATCTGTGACCTCGTGTCAGATCCATGTCCTGAAGTCCCCTTCCAGTTAGTAACCTCAGGAAAAGACCTATGGTGTTGCTCAAGAGCCTCGATGTTTTACTCTTCATCAGGGCAAATTCAAGCAGCAGCCACCTGCACGTCTTTAACTGCACCGGGGTCTACGACTGGACCTGTGCAAAGGAAGACTATCCAAATATTCCAATACTTCTAGCACTCACGCTTTCAAAACATGATTGACACTACAGCCCAGAACGTCACTTAATTTCACATCAGAAGGAGATCTAGAAAAAGAATACACACAGCATGTCCCGGTCCCACACCTCCACATACGGTGGCCCTGGGCAGACACCAAGCAGCTTTCCAGGATTTGGCTGGCAAGCATTTACCTTTCCTAAGGTTGGTTTTCATCAGATGGCCCGAGTGTTTTAAAGGCACTCCCTGCATCTTTGCACCTGTGCTCCCAAGCCTTCCTCTTCCTAGTGGGCTTCCGTTCTGCTCCAGGCGGGCAATCTTGGCTGGTGGGCCCTTCGGATCGCTCACATTGTTAGACATTTCTGAATGCTCTTTCCCCTGAGTCGCCTCATTCAAATGATCCATACTCAGTCACTGTCTTACAGATCACCTGCCAGAACTGGAAAAGAAGATGTTATCAGTGGGTGGAGGGCTGTAGTGATGCCTACCCCGTACGCGTCTTATCCCTAGACATTTCCCTCCACAAACTCATCCATGCACCTATGTAACGATGTACAAGACAGCGTTTCTATATAAATTAACAGAATACTGCTGAATCCATACCAACGTATGTGAATAAAACAGTAATTTCTCAGCTAAAACTATGAGGAAAATAGGCTTACTTTCAGAACAAGACTACCACAAGGTAAAAAGAAAATAACAAATTATACTCATGTACTCTCAATTTTTAAAAATTAAAAATTCATGACACACTATGACTGCAATACTTCTAATGAAGGGTGGAAAGATTACCAGGAGCTTACTAGGAGCTCACACTCTAAACATATTTCGCAAATCTGTTACAAACGAAAACCTCAGCAGAGGACTGCAAACACACATTGCCTTTTAACATGCCAGTCGCTTGAGGAGCTAAGGCAGCCAGAAGTTTTCTACCAGCTATGTTTCAAGTGTTCCAAGTTGCTAAAGATCTCAAGTCTCTGGACAAGCATGTGACCCCTAAGCATACAGGAAGGGTTCCTTTAAATGTCTCGTAGCTTTTAACAGGACGACTAGTCTTTTAGAGTTAATATTTAAGTGTCCATTGCTAACAGGATGCTGTTCATTAAGTAGCAAAAACCCTACAAATATTTTGTGATACACACAAAAAGTATATATGTGAAGCTTGACTTAAAAAAATAATCCTAACACTATTGACAAAACACAATCTCCAATGTTTAAAAAATAATCAGGATGCAAGGAAGTTAGCATCATCATAATTTCAGAAAAATGTGAATTTTCATTTTTACTAAATATTAGACTTCAACTTTCAATATTGCTCATAATAAAGCAACTGGTACAATATATCAAAGTTACTTCTAAATCATAGTTTTAAATAGAGCCAGTTAACAGAGCAGGTAAGCAGAATTAGGCTCTGAACTTTCATTAGCCTTGAAGTACTGGGGATATCTAGGAAAGCCACAGAGAATATGACAGCTGTCAGCATTTTGAATTATCTTATATACTTTAAAAAATTACTATTATACTCAAACTCTTTGGACCTGGATCATCAGAGAGACAGTTTGCATTAGCATGACTTTTCTATAGACATTCTTCTCTCATTAAGTCCATCTTACTTCATGCTATAGAACCAAGAAATGGAAACAGGCATATATGAGCTGGGGGCTTAAAGCAACCTTAAGAATGACAAACCAAGAACTACAAAGTATGAGAAATAATAACATATTTATCTCTGTCCTCGAGGGGTGGCACGTTGAGAGCTAGGGTTTACCCTTGATCCAGGTCCCATCTGGTTTTGGTTATGAGTTTCATTAACAATAAATGCATCTTTTTAAACCACTTTTTATCAAGATCACTCTTTTCCATTATATTAAGCAGCAGTCTAAAGCCAAAATTAGAGTGATTATTATTAAGTTATTCAAAACACTCTCTATGGCTCATGTGGATCATAATGCAAGGCTGATTTCTCTAAAATTGGTTGCCTTACCCCAGAGCAGAAGACGAATTTTAAAACATATGAACAGAAAAATATTTAACCCTTGGGGCAACTTATGAGAAAAGGGGGGAGGGGAGTTCACAACAACATAGGTCAGAGGTCAGCAGTGCTAGGAACTGTAAGTACAGCAATTGAAAAGACTTCAGTTTAGGTAAGGCATCGACAGTCAAAACACCACACAGGTCATGAAAACTGTTGTTTTGAATGTCCCTTAAACTATCTACCAGACACTAAGTCATTCTCTAAAAGGTTTGCATTATAAAGCAAAATTACATGCACATAAAACACTCAATTTAATACTCCCTTAAACTCTATGCCAAGGCTAAGTTCATCAAACCTCAGGTCGGAGCTGGCTCCAGCCACTGCCAAGAGGCCTGCCTGGACTGACAACAGCCGGGGCTAACTCTGGTCACAACCAGTGCCCATCTCCAGAGCTTGAGTTACGTATTTTAAAACCATTTTAGAGCAGTGTATGGACGGCACACAGAAAGCAGGCTACTTTCCGCAAGTCCCATTTCCCTGTCCATAAATTAAGACCACAGAGGAGCCTTCCTGGAACGAGCTGGTGAACTCCGTCTCAGTAATTATTTCCTTTAAAAAGCAGGAAATAAAAATCGCGAAATTCTAATTTCAAGAAAGTATATTTTTTTCTTTTTCTTTCTTTCCTTTTTTTTTTTTTTTTTTTTTTGCATCGTGGGATCCCTTTTCAAAGAGTTCCTCTTAGGGTCGTTTTCTTCCCAACAGAACCCCAGAAGCACATTTTAGGAACCCATGCCCTTATCCATTCCATATGGCCGGCCCGATCCAGGCCAAGCTTTCGCTGTGACCTTTTAAAGAGACAAAGAAACAAACTACTATCTAGCAACAGCAAAGCTGCAGTTTTACTGAGTGAAATTAGCAAAACCGACCTGAAACTCACCACTTCAAAACTTGACAGCATATAAATAACAAAACAAAGGAGATTTCCTTTGCAGCCCGGGTTCTTGAAGTGAAGTTCAAGACTGGTGTTTTCTATGTCCTTTTTATTATTATTATTATTAAAAAAAAAAAGCAGCAGACCTGAAGGCGACTTCCCCTGAAATTGTATTATTTTCTCTTCCCTTACCCTCGCCCCGCTAAGCGGGGGGAAGGGCAAAAATAAACAGCTAAAGAGTAGATATTGGGGAGGGGGGGTAAAAAAAAGTCACAATTCGAAAAACAGCATAGCTAGCTTGTAAAATGTCTAACGTCGGAGAACAGGGTTTGGAAGGGGAGGAGGGGAGAGTGGGAAGTAGGGGGGAGGGAGAAGGTAAAATTGATCTGACAAGTGATTCGTTGGGGGTGGGGGAGTCCTAAAAACAAAGCGGAACCCGTTAGGAGCTGTGCACTGGTGGTACTGGGGAGGAAAAAAATCACTGCGGACGAGGACCCCAGAAAGGGTGGGGAGACAGGGGGGGCGGCAAGGTACCCTCGCCCCCTCCTCCTGCTGAGCGCCAGGGAGAGCGCGTCAAGTCGGCTCGGTGTCACCGCGCCAGGCTCGCCCGAGCCCCCGGAGCGCCAGGGAAAGGCCACCTCGCTTTCTTCCCAGCCGCCCCCTCCCCCCTCCTCAACAATCGCGACTGCGATTAACAAACCTTAAACTTTTTCCCCACCGCCTCGTACCCCCACCGAGGGTATCTAGCAGGGGCCTGGGAGGATGAGGGGTAGAGGGTCGCGCCAAGAGCCCCGGGAAGGCACTAGGAGGCCACTTGGGAGGCCGGCGTCTCCGACAACAGCCCCGGGGACCCTCTCCCTGCCCATGGACGCGGGGCCCCGGAGCGCCCCGGAGCACCGACGGGGAGGGAGGGGCATGGGGGAGGGGGAGATCCGAGGGCAACCCCGCCGCCGCCGCCTCGGCGGCCACTCGCTCCCCGCCCCCTCCCCCCAAAAGTCGCCAAGCTCTCACTCAGCCCGAGTCGGAGGTAAACAAGGAGCTCGACAATGGCAGTGGGACTTGGGGACGCAGCCGCCGCCCGGAGGCCCCCCAGAACTGACGCGGAGTTGCGCGGAGGGCGGCGGGTGCCCGGCCGCAGGCGGGGTCCCCACGCGGGCGGCGAGGCCGGTGTCGCCGGCGGCCCGGGAGAGGCGCGCGGGGGTCTGCGCGCGCCTGTGAGCGCAGCTCCCCGGACGGCTGCCCGTCGCTCGCTCGCTCGCTCGTGTCCCCTCGCGGCCGCTCTGCCCCCATTAAACCAGGAGTTGACTCATCCCGGCCGCGGTGGCCGCTGCCGTGTCGCGCTGGGCTCCGCGCGTCCTCCCGGGCTGCAGCCCTCGCCGCCGCCGCTGCTGCCGCCGCCGCCGCTGTGGCTGCCGCTTCTTCCTCCTCCTCATTTTAATGCGAGGCACCGGCTGGCAGCGCAGCCTCCTCCCGGCCGCCCGCAGCCTGCTACCCCGGCGGGGCCGCCGCGTCCCGGGCGCGGGAGGGGGAGGGCGGGCGGGCGGCGGGGGCAGGGTGCGGGAGGGCCGGGAGGGACCGGGCTCAAAACCCGGGCTGGAGGGCCGGGATCGGGGGAGGGGCGGGGGCGGCGGCGGCGGCCCGGGAAGAGCTGAGTGGGGCGCGCGCCGGCGGCCGGGCGCGCGAGCATCTGTAATGAGCCGCGAGCGAGAGAGGCGGGCGGGCGGCCGGCCGAGTGCACACAATGCCCGGCGGCCGGGGGCGCGGGGAGGACGCGGGGGCGCCCTGGGCAGGTGCGTGCGGGCAGTGCGGAGGAGGGGCGTCCCGGGGACCCTGAGCCGCCCGGGGGACGGGGCGGGGGCGAGCAGGTGGCACTTGAGGTGGGCACGCAGCCGCATGTGGCTGGAGTGGAGAAGAGCCCCAAGGAGTGCCTGGGTGGTAGGGCAATAAAGGCGAGAAGCCTGGAGACGCTCCCCCTAGTACTTAGTCTCAAAGGAGTGTGGTCTCAGCTGCAGAGAGTGCCATCCACTAACTGAGTAAGGGCTTTCGGAACAATTCAGAGCCACAAATACTCATACTTTGGACTTCTGAAACACGCGGCCCGTAGTGCTGGAGTTAAACTAAATTTGGGTCACTGGAAACACACCTGACTTTGCTATTACAAAGGAAAAGATGTCATCATTCTTAAAATACTTCCCATCGGGCGAATATAGGAAAGTTTGGGTTGGTGAATGCATCTGTTGTAGCAATAAATACTTTCGTGATCAGAAGAAACTAAATAGTCCACATAAAAATGAACACCGTAACATCTCACCCAAAATGCATTATTTAATCACTAAGGTTTTTAGTTCCACTCGAAAGCAGTTCACCAAACAAGAGCCAAATGTTATATTTTGAAGAACTATTTTTGAAGAATGCAGTAGTAGGGGAAAGATGTAGCTCTGAAAAACACTGTGAGATACAGTTTTTTAAAAGCAACAAGTTAGGACAACCGCAGAGATAAGGACGAGATATGCAAATGAAGCTCTTTAAAGCGACCAATACACTCTAAGGCACTCTGTTTACACTAGAAGTCTTTTTTTTTTAAAAAGCAGAAGGTAGAGGAAATGATGGCTTCCTGGGAAGGCTGAGTTTAGCAGAAGCACAAAGAAAATAGATTGCTCCAAGAGCACCCAGGCTTCACCCACAAACCGGAAAGGTTAGTCAAAAATCGAGGAAGGCAACTGTGAATCCTGGCACCAAAGCCTTGAGCAAAAAAGAACATGTGATGGTGAGACAGAAACATACCATCCAAAACAAGGGAAGCAATTTAAACAACCTTCACCACAAAGGCTAAGAGTACCTTTTTTAAAAGTTGCAATGTGTGGGAAACGTGGAGGCTATTTGCAGTATAATAATCAATAAGAAAAATACAAATACAGCCAAAGATAGCACTTGTGTGGGAGTCTGTATTGTGACTGGAGGCTAAACTTATTTTGAAAGATATTTGATATTTAAAAGAACAGACATGATTATCTTGATAAGAACAATGATGTTTTTCAATAGGATGCATTAAAATTTCAGTCTCCAATGTGGATCACTGAATAGTCCTTCCAATTGGTAATGCCTGACATGCTTCCCTGAAACCTGACCTCTCTTAGTAGGCACAGGGTGTTCTAGTGTCATGCTGGATGGGTTACCAAACAATAATAAAAAGAGAGAAATTATGCTGGCCTACAAAGGCAACAATATGTCACTTGCTCCTACAACTCTACTTCAGTTAAATTTTTAGAAAAAGCAAGAAGGAGCAGACTTGGCTAGTTGCTGGTCAGAACAGACTTTGAGCTAATAGAGAAGAACACTGAAAACAAGAGATTTCTAAGATGCCACATTACAACACGGGAATGAAAATACTATAAATGTTTCTCCAAAAATTGTACACAAATAAACATGACAAAATGCCTGATTACCTTAGTCTCATGGTAACCTGATCAACGCTAATGCAACCCGGTAAACTTTCATCTGAACAGCACCTTTCATTCAGGAATTACTATCTGTTCATTAAAGTATGTAGTGAGGACTGATGTGGCCTTGGGAAAATGATAGACTAAGCAAGCATAATGGCATCTAATAATGACTTTATTGTAAAGAGTAATGATATAGTAAAATTGTTAATCTATTAGTCACACACATTTCCTTAAAGCACATTCTTTATCCCCAAACTATGAGTTTTTAAAAATAGAATGGGTAAAATGACACAGCAGATACCTAGTGACATGCCACCTGATGGGCTCATGAGAGTGTGTATACTTCAGTACACTCACGATAGCCACTAAATATTGGCCAGTAAAACTCAATCAAATAATAAGAAAAAGAAGGATAATTATACCACCTTCCAAGATCTATGTGAGCCATAAACTATCACGTTGGGGGGGGATGGGGGGTGCATTAACTGATTCTACAAGGACACCTTTAGCCATTAGCATTAACTGATTCTACAGGGACACCTTTAGCCATTAAGATGCAAGCAAGTAGTGAAAGAGTTAAAACAGAGTAAGATTTATAAATCTTGCTATCAAACTGGAGAAGTTCAGCAGCCTCAGTCCTGCAGCAGCAATGCATGGATGCAGTCCGAGTAGAGTGCTTTCGCCTTCTCTCCTGGGAAAAGGGCATCAAAATTGGATACACAAAGGAAACGAGCGTGAAGTGTCCTAACAAACACACAAGACTGTTAGAAATTAATGAAAGCACTGCCGCCTGTTTCAGGTGTGAGGCAAAGGCATGAAAACGGACTTGGAGTTCCGAATAGTGAATACAATCAGAGGAGGCATGTAGAACGGAGTGCTTTCCGGTCCTGCCGACTGTTGGTGATGCAGCACTCGCCAGCAGATCGATTGCTTCCTACGGACATGGTTTGGTTTGGATTTTATCTTTTTCAATTCAAGTACAGTTGGCTACATCTACTCAAAGCAAGTAGCTATGTAACACATTGCTTTTTGTCAGCTCTTGGTTTTTTTGGCTTTAGCTGCTGGTGTTGTTTTCTATATATGCGTTTCTGGAACTGTGGTCTGTGTTGGCCGAATAAGGATGTCTATTCAAGCCATATGCTTTGCTGTCTTATGTCTCATTTTGTCTGTCTGGGATATCAGTACTGATTTCCACATCGTTTCTTGAGTGGACCAAACACCACTTTGCTAGGGCAGAGAAGAAAGGCTGGGGTTGCAGCCCAAACAGTTTCATCAAAACGCAACATCCTGTAAACATCTGCAGCCTCTTGTCTCCTATTATCCATGACCAACATCATGACAACTGCTTTCTTTGAGAAAGAAGTTAGCATTCTATGTCTGCATGTGGGTAGAGCCCGCATTTTAGAGGTCAAAGGGCACATGCTAACTGACTTACTCTGACATCTGCAGGTCCGGTAGCCAACTTGACCCAGTCTTGAACTTGGGGGAGTTCAAGTGCACCCCCCATGATTTTCTCTTAATAAACGCCCTGACTACAAGAAGCTATGGGCCCTAGTATATGTCCTTGTAGCAGTCTACATCTCTCCTTTGTAACGACCGTCACATTCTTAATCACCTAACCGTCTGAGTGATTGTTAGTCAAGCAACCACCTCCTTTGTCAGCTGCAAGCCCTGTGAGCGCCCAAGTTGCCCCTGCTTGCCATAGGTGAAGAACTGGGGTTAGTACTCTTTATTTACACTATGACAGAAGTGAGAAAGCAGGGTACTGCGCAAGTTTGTTACACTGCCTAATGCTTGATTAATTAAAATTACATTAATTAAAACTTACAAGTTAGTCCTTTCATCCCACTTCACGTGTTCCATGGTCTCACATGGCTAGTGGCGCTCACGACTGCACAGTGCAGACTGCAGAACACTTACTTCCCCATTACAGAAAGTCCTACTGGACAGTACTTACCTAAAGAACTGTAAAAGATGACTAAGTGAGCCAAAGGAGTCTTACAGGTGCTGACTGGCTTTCAGACATTCTAATGATGTCTGAATGGAGATCATTTTCCATTTTAAAATTAGCCCATAGATCTGTAATGTTACATGGAATGAGACTAGTGTGCCACTGAATGCAAATTTAAGATAACTTTCCAGACATGTCTGCACTTGAGAGGGTCCTGTAATATATCTGCAACAATATGCAGTTATTATAAACACTACTTGCTATGGGTGCTTCAATACCATGTACGCAAAGTTATAAACCACAGCCGTCCCCCCTTACTTCTCCTTCCTTGTGATGCTAACACAAACCGCCTTCGCTGTGGGTCTTTGTGCAGCTTTAACTGTAGATGTCTACTCAGACTGGGAGAGTATCCAGCTAACAAAACCTGGTACACTACAGACAAAAATGTCAAAGGCTGGGAAAGGTTGCAGGAGAGAGCAAAATATAATGATGATAAACTTCAAATCCAGATCTCAAGTAAGTCGGGTTCAGTTATAGCCAGAATAATAGCGATCAAGATTATGTAACCTAATTCCTCTGAGGATGGATGTTAATCCCAAAGGTAACTTGTGATGTTTCAACAGATAGGTCCTTACCACTGCAGTGCTAGCTATCACAGCTGGCAAGGTGACAAAATGAATTTTTACTAGTGGATCTATTGAACAGAAGTTTTCAGAACTATCTTTCCACAGATGTTAATATGAACCCTCCTTTGACAAGGTATAGTAGAAATGATTTCATAAATTAGTATTTCTATCTAGACCCAGATCTAAAATTGAGTAGAGATCAGGAAAGATTCCTGCGGTTGCCACTGGGCCGTGTAGGACCACCAGTTTACCTACAAAACTAGCTGCCTGGTTTTATATTATAGCTCCTGGACTGAATGAACTTCGGGCTCCGAAATCTTGGGACTCTTTAATAGACAGCTTGTTTTAGCCTTGTTGTCCAGTACCTAGTACACTGCAGGAAAAAGTGACAACAGCTATATAGCTATGGCTTCTTTTCCCTTCCTCTGATGTCCCATCATAGTACCCATCCCACCAGCTCTGGGCCATTCAGGGTTCTACT